AAGCTGATGTTCTTCTGCTGACGTTGTCTGCGCAATTTGTCGTACTACATCATAAAATGCCTTTTCCACCATTTACCGCAATTCTTTGCCGATGCTTCAACGAATTCGCAACCCAATTTCCGCGCCAGTGCATGACCTTCTTGTGTGGATACGTCTCGTTCGGTAACTCTGTCGCATTTATTTCCCACGAGCATAATCGGTACAGGTTCGGAGGGCGAGATAGGTGATATAGGTGAGCCGGGATATACTGGAGAGGATGAAGATGATTCTTTAACTCGTTGAATTTGATTGTGAAATCTTTGAATGCGCGTAAAGGATGATCTCGATGATATGCTGTAAACCAAAACGAATCCTTCTCCATCACGTATCCATTGATCTCGTAACGCAGTATATTCTTCCTGACCGGCAGTATCGAGAACCTCCAACATACAAGATTGACCGTCTATCGCGACTTGTTTCCGGTATGAATCTTCGATAGTAGGATCGTACTATGCTAGAGTAAGCATGCGATGATAACAATGAGAAATGGTCAGTGGGAGAGCTTACAGTCTCGACGAAATGCTGTAATGTTAATTGAATTGTCAAAGCAGTTTTACCTACACCTCCATCACCAAGCACCACCAATTTGTACAAGACCATCTGTTTCGAAGACATCTTTGTGAAGGCGTTCCTCGTTGTGTGTAAGTATTGAGGATATATCAAGATCGGAGGATTTAATTAGGAAGGAGAAAGAGTGCAGACTAGATCGGTTGAAGTAGACGGGGGAGGAGGAGGAGGAGGCGGATGTTGGTGGTTGGGTAGTTGGTAATAGGTAGTTTAAATGAAATCAATTTGTCAAAGATCCTTTAATTCCTTAATTCTTTGCTGTGCTGTGCTGTGCTGTAATGTCTGTCTATCTGTCGGTGGGAAAGATAGTTTCCAGGTTGGCTCAGTGCTGCGAGTGGAGATTCCCTTTGGGCATAAAAGAAGCTCGGACTTTCTTTCCGCGTTGCTACACTCACTATACCGTGTACGCCTGCAGTTGATGGATGGATGGATTGATTGATTTGACGGGTTGGACGGGGAGGGACAGCGAGAGGGAGAGAAGTAGGCAAACGTAGAATTGATGATAAAGTACCGGTACTAGGGATGGTGGTCGCGGAATAAGGTCAAGTGAAATTGATTAATGTTTTGATACTCGAGTCAACAGAAGTACGTCCAGTAGATGGGTACTTCTTATGATCCGAATTCGATAGG